ATAGTTATATATATATATATATATACTATATATTTTGGGGTTAGGCTGTCTAAATTGCACTATATAATATGTTCTGAATTAAATATGTTCTTGGGTTTTTTTGAAATATATATATATATATATACATGTATTAATTCAACCTTAATCTGAGTTTCTGGACAAAAAATAGGGTAAACAGTTGAAATTTCATTCTAAAACTCATCCTTTTTGGTCTTTTCATGGCTTATGATCTGTTAAATTTGTAGTTTTCTTTATTGGTTTTGAGTGTTTATTTTAAAACTCAAGTTTCTTGGTTCTTTGCTCTTGGTGTAAATCGAACACATTTGTGGAGTCGTTTAAATATATTGAATTTTAAATATATTGGATTTTAAACTGTCATACAATTTTTTTCATCAATAGACTGTAATTGGAACCATAACTTTTATTTATTCAAATTGTATTAATATGTAAAGACCAAGTGTAACATATATTATCGTTAACTTTTATCTTATAAAACCAGTGGAACTTCAAAATCGTTAAAATCATGGCTCCCGCCGCATTGCACGGGTACACAACTAGTAAAACTTAAAATTATTTGTAATCATTGATTACATAAAATATAAAATGAGTGTTATTTATATATTGATATTTCAATTACGTCATTTAGTTATATAACATAAATACATGATGAGAACTAAATGTTATTTACATATTAATTAACTAGGTTCGAATCTATGTATTACACAAGGTAATTTAAAATTTTTAAATCATGTCAGGAAACTTATCTTACACATATCATCGAAAGTATGATGCTACGTTTCCAAGCATTTTTCCCTTCAGAATTATTATGTATTTGCAGCTCGTTGCAAAATGTCAATTTTAGGCATTTTTCACAAAGGATGTTTTGCATCCTCTGTTTTTTCTTTAATATTTTCGTTCTTGAATTTTCTTCGTATTCCAGCTTCATTGAGTCGAAGCTTTCAAAAAGAAAATCTTCCATCCTGCACAGAAAAAAACGGGGTAAGAATGATTGAACATTCTGTAGCGTGAAAAAATATTCTTTGTTGAATGTAAGATAAACAAAACAAAAGCGTTTGATTAAACTTACGTGAATGTCTTTTGGTATTAATGTGAAGCTTGAATTGTTTGTTGTTTTTTACAAAAACCCTAAATCAACTCTCTTTTCTCTTGGTCGCTTGTGCTCTATGTAGTTGAGCTGTGGAGCAAAGTGAAATTTAATATAATAAGTAAAAATATATAGCATACTATATTCATCATTTATCATATCAGCATAAAAATTTTATTTAGAAAAATATATATGTAGTATAGTTAGAATCATTCTAAGTTTAGAAGTTGTCTGTATATTATTTGTATTGTTTATAAAAAAATATGTAGCATACTAAATTGATTGTTAGGACCAAAATTGTCCTAAATAATATGAAAGTTTTATTAAAACAATATCTTGTATAGTATTTAGGCTAAGGATGAAAATTTGCAGATCTGAACTAGAATGCTTGCAAGACTTATCTTCATATTTGTGAATTGTACTTACAAGATTAAGTCTAAGTCTTTAAGACTTATCTTCAGATCTTTGAACTGTACTAGTATAAGGCTGAAAGACTTATCTATCTCTGAATTGTATTTACAACACTAATTATAAGTCTTAAAGACTTATCTATCTCTGAACTGTGCTTACAAGACTAAATATAAGTTTTTATAAGACTAAACATAAGTCTTAAAGACTTATCTATCTCTGAACTGTGCTTACAAGATTAAGACTAAGTCTAAGTTTTAAATACTTATCTTCAAAGTCTGAAGACCTTGAGCTCAGAGTTATTCTAACTCTGGACGAGAGGATGATGCTGATTCTGTAACAACCTATTTGCGATAGAGATTATCTTTTCATGTTTATAGGATCTAGTTTCATTGTAAACGTCACCTATAAATAGGTTATATAGGCATAGATTTTTAGAAGAGGATTCTTACAATCATTAGAAATTTTATTCACATGAGAGTCATTTAGAGTGTTGAAAGACTTGTGTATTTCCAGTTTTTCATGAATAAAGAGATTGGCCAGTTTCCTACTTCATGATCTTCTTCTTTAATCTCTCAATTACTGTTTTTATCTTGATTTTCTATGAATCTGGGATCTAAATTGATCATTATCATAACAATAGAAGAACCATAATTCAAACTTATGGAAAATTAAATTTATTATAGAAATAATATAATCAAAATAAATGATCAAACAAAGTAAATATCCAAAATACAATTTTGAAATTTTTCTTAAAAAAAATCCATCCAAAATTTTTCTTAAAAAATTCATGCTTAAAATATCTATAATAAAATCGTGTCAAAGATTCGGCATTTGATGATGACATATGTTGAAGGATGCTAAGTTGTGATGGCTTGACAGCATTGCATTTAATGCAGTCGTATTCTTTATTTTTAATCAAGGTAATTAAGTTTTATATTTTTTTAAAAATGAATCCTATGATATATTACTTGTTTTACATATTATAGTAGGTAATATATCTATAATAAAATCTTGTAAAAGATTCGGCATTGGATGATGACGTATGTTAAAGGGTGCGAAGGTATGATGGCTTGGCAAGCTTACATTTAATAAGTAAATTGTTGAAAGTTTAATGAGATAATAGTGCAATTATATATAAGTCCTCACATGGAACGAACGTGCTATGCATTTTGTTAAAAAAATAATAAAAATATGAATAAATATTAAGAATCAAAATTTATAATAGAACGTAAATGAAATTATGGAAAAGTACATAGTTAAAATATTAATAACATAAAAACCACGTATCATAAATTATCAAATGCTTCTTTATATACAACATTCTTTGTTCTATTTCTAATTATACCATCATGATCTATAATTAATATTGTTAAACCTTGCCTACTTATTACTCTAGATAAAGCAACATACAATTGACCATGGGTGAAGACTGGTTGTCTCAGAAACAAATCAACCTTCGATAATGATTGTACCTGTCTTTTATTTATGGTCATGGCAAAACATACAACAATTGGAAATTGTCTTCTTTAAAACTTGAATGGAAACCTTTTGCTTGTAGGTGTCAAAGACATTTTTGGAATAAATGTCTGACTTCCAATATTACTTCCAGATATGATCTCTGCTTCTATAACCCGATTTCCCAAAGATAACACCCGTAGTCTAGTTCCATTGCATAACCCAGATTTCTGATCAATAATCCTTAGTAACATAACTGGAACACCGACTTTTAGTAATATTTTATGGTTTGTCAAACCCGATAATTTAAGATCATTTAATACATCAGGTGAGTACAAAGTTTCATCAAACTGTTTGTGAAGATACTCCGATTCACATAGACTAATGAAACTTAGGTACCCCTTTTCGTCTCCTGGAAACAAAGATAGCAAACGATCGTTTATTTCTTGAACGACTTCATCCTTTGGTGCAAGCATTGCTTTTTCCTAAAAATATGATGAATTCTTGATATTTACAAGAATGGAAGGGTAGACAAAATCAATTAATACAGATATAGGATCCGTTGAATCTATAATGAAAAGATCATCAGGTATATCAATAAATGCCTCACCCTCATTCACACCATCAACCTTTCCTTCTCCTAAATCCAAAAGCCAGTTTGCAAAAATCCTTGTTTGTTCGATATCAGAAGCTTGACCGTCAACAGTTAACCTCATGTTTTTAGTTAACCTTAGGACTTTGCATTTTTCTCAAACGTAAGATGAACTTAACGACACACTAACAATGTCTTGTCTACTTACGTTGGGAATAACCGGAAGAATTTGTCTGAAATCTCCTCCAAAAGCGACTACTTTGCCACCAAATAGCATTTCTGAGTCAGTAATGCCTTGACAACCAAAAATATCGTTCATACTTCTATCCAATGCTTCAAATGCATGTTAATGATGCATTGGTGCTTCATCCCATATAATCAACCTAGTCTTCTTTATTAACTTGACAACATCACTCTCTGGCTTTATGTAACAAAGAGAATCTTCGTTAAGAATTAGAGGAATTTGAAAGCGAGAGTGTGTTGTCATACCTCCAGTAAGAAGTAAAGAAGAAATACCACTCGAAGTAACGTTTACAACAATTTCTCCTCTAGATCTTATTGATGCAGATAATGTCTTCCATAGAAATGTTATACCTATTCCGCCATAACCATATACAAAAAATACACCTCGTTGGTTATTTTGAACCGCTGTGATGATATCGTCATAAGCACCTTGTTTCTCGTTTGTTAAAGCACCTAGAAGTTGATGAAAATTATCTCGTAGATTAGCTATGTCGTAATCTAGCTTCTTCGTAATCAAACGATTGTTTGAAGACTCAACATAATCATCATCAGGGTAAGGCATAGTAGTGAATTTCTTAGGCTGAAATTGTTACGAAGTAAAACCTTTTCAATCTTAAACAATGTCAAGTTCTTGACTTGATCTTCATTGAGGGATAAATCTATGAAATATATAATATAAATGTAAACACCATTACATAAAAATAATAACTAAAAAATATTTAAGAAAGGAAATAATATTTAAAAAATAATAAAATAATAAATTAGTTTGTATTTAAATAATAATTGTATAAAAACTTAAATACATAATTAGCATACCTGGAGACTTTAGTGCAATTCGTTAATTGTAAAGAATCTCATCTGCCAAGTATTGCCATGTTTTTTGCCAAACAAATTCAGGTCTATCCAGAGTATTTGAAATCAACATGGTTGCAAATAAATATCGTAGATAAAAACTAGAACCGGTTAAACTTGCTTCTTCGATGGCATCAACATATTATCCTTGTCGTCATCTAAAAGCCCAAAAGCATAACATACATCTCTAAAAGTAGGAAATATATCTCCATTTACTATACGAATGTCTTCTAATAATTTAGGATCTTTGACTATATTCAAAAGAATTCTTAAATAATACACTTCACCAAGAGTAGGAGAAACTGAATGAATTCTTCCAATTGAAAAGCCTTTTTTCCTTCGATCCCAACGCCGCTCTTTCAGTTTCCACACAAACTCTGCAGGGAATTCAACATAAGTAAGTTTTCGTGCTTCTTCGTAAAATTCATTACACTTCATCCAAGCTAAGAACATTGAAGATGCCATAGAAGTTTTGTTTATGACATTTTCAATATCATCTTCAGCACCAAAAACGACTTGTTGTTGTCCAGGAAAATGGAAAGGAAACCTTAAAACAGAAGGAGTTTTGTAATGAACATCGTACCCAAAAAGTGAAATTTGAAATCGAAGTGCATAAATAGACATATATGACTATGAGGCAATTCGCGCTTCTGAAACTCCACTGTATAAACAACTACACAAAAAGTGAAATTTGAAATTAATAAAGGTAACCTATTAATATGAACCTTTTGTTAAAATTATTATCATAAATGTCACATATCTGCCTGAACCTTACCGAGTAATGCATTGTCTTTCAACTCTTTAATAATTGCATCAAGCTTCATCTGAAATAATCGACAAAAGATATCAGGCCTATCTTCTGAATATACCATGGTGTCTTTAAGAAAGTTTTTAATTTTTTGTCCATTTAGGGTTACATGTCAATGTTACGAAAAATATCTGGATATCCATACCACTTACAAAAGGACATTGCATCCAAATAGTTTTGTATCATGTAGCGAGCACCACCAGTAAAAGAAGAAGGTAAAACAACACATTGTCCAATGTTGGAAACATCAGTCTCTCCTTGTTCTTGTGCAGTATGTAAATTATCATAAGTTTCGCACCTTAGAACTTTTGTTCCTTACATATGTAATGCAGTCTCTCACTTTCAATCATCATATAACCATCAACAATAAATTGTTGGAGAAGTCTTCGTGCATTGAGAATTAATAAAAAAATATTTATCCTATCTTGAAGTTTGAAGGCCAAGAACTCTCTCATTGTTACCGGTGGTCTTTTACTTTTGCTTGAAGACGTTATACCTCTATGAAGAATGTCAACTCTGTAACCATCTTCTCCATATCGAAACAAAAGTGGATACTAAAGAGGAAGGTAAGAAGGATGTAATTCACTTATCTATTGTAGATAACCTGTTTGATGTTTTACAATAATATCCCTCTTTTCAATTGTACCACCAGCAGCAACCTCCGAAGCAGTTGGTAAGTTATATGTTCTTCCGTCCTTTTGACATCTTCCGGCAAGGCATAACTTCAGCTCCACATTAGGATTGGATTGAAAACAATCTATTGCCATCCTATAAGATTTAACCAAAACATTTTGGGAATCTAGCATGTTCTTCATATATTGTATAATCTCAACATCAAGGGAATCATAAATTGATGTAGACCCTTCTATTTGTTCACTGATTACATGATAAAAAATAAAATAAATCTATTAATAATTATAAGGGTTGTTAGGACTGAAAATCAGTATTAAATTGTATTCGTCTTGAAAGTTAAATATTGTCTATAATTGTAAAAGTCATCGTGTTTGACTTTTCTGTAAAGTTTGACTTTGACTAGGACTTTAATGTTTGACCCTATATAAAGGGTAAAGTCTTGTAATTGTTTGTAAGGAAGCTTATTGCAATATTCATTTACGTAATAAGAGAGTTTACCAGACTTTGAATGTTGACTATTTCTCTCTTCTCCATCTCTATGATATTTCTATAGATTTTATCAGATCTGCCATTGTTATGAAGCTCATATGAAGATTGATCATTGTTAGGGGACTCACAATTGGTATCAAAGCAGATTTGCAGGAAATTTATTTGAAGAAATCATCAAGAATTGCTCAAAATTTCTGGAAATTCATGAATGTTCTTAATTGTTCTTAATAAACTTTTTTTAAATCTTTCATTCTTGGACATTTGATTGTTAAAATGATGATCGTTGTGTACGTTTTACATAATGATTCATTGTTATGTCTTTGATTTTGAATTTTGATCATCGATATTTGAGATTTGAAGAGTTTATAAATTTTTGATGTTCTTCGTGTTCATGTGAAAACTCATGAAAAAGGTAAAGTTTGATCCAAAGTTTGTATGGATTTTTGTAATGTTTGTGTTTGTGGGCTGTTTTGATCTAATCTTGATTGTTGTTTACGATTGAATCTTGTTAGTTGAGTGGATTATAGGTTGCAGTAAGTGTTTTGATTGGAAGTTTGGCTGGATATAAGCTTGTTTAGACTAACTATTTGAGCGATTTAAGAGAATTCTAACATTCCTTGAGCGAGGAATGACCGTATTCGATCATTAATAGTGTTAGACTTGAGCGAGGTTTTAACCAGATCCGGACACTAACTAAGTGATTTATACTTGGTGGCATTCATGCAGTGAGCGGGTTTCATTTTGTTGTGAACGGTTTAGATCTCATGATAAGCGATTTAGGCTTAGTATTCAGCGGATTTAAGGTTCTGTCTTGAGCGGTCTTGTGAGCGATCTTGAACATTTGAGTGTTTTAGCATCTCTTTGTTTGATGTTTTGACCGAATTCGGACATAAAGTAAGCGAACTTGATCGTATTCGGTAGACTAGTAAGCGGTTTATCATCTTAGTTTTGAATGGATTTAGTCATCAGGAATCTAAGTGGTTGAGCGATTTGATCAATCCCGGACACCCCTTGACTATAGTCTTGAGCGTATTCGGTCACAAGGTGAGCGATTTATCTTTCAGTTTGAGCGAATTCGGACACTAGAGAAGATAGGTTTGATCGAATTCAGACATAAGGGAAGGGTGTAGTGACCGTATACGGACACCATTTTGAGCGATTTAATCAAGTAGTAAGTGTTTTTCATGCAGTGTTGAGCGGACTTGGTTGTCATTGTGAGCGATTTATACTTAGCCTATCCCACTCCTTGAGCGAATTCAGACAACCTAAGAACCATCCTTTGAGCGAATTCGGACAACCTAAGAACCACCCCTTGAGCGAATTCGGACAATCTAAGAATCACTCCTTGAGCGAATTTGGTCAACCTAAGAATCACTCCTTGAGTGAATTCGGACAATTAGGTGAGATGAGGTAAGCAACTTAGTTGGACTGTTTGAGCGATTCAGATACATAGCTTGAGCAATTTAGAGGTTACTTTGACCGGATTAAGAGCTTGAATATTGAAATTTTGTTTGTTAAATTTTCATTTGTTTGAGAATTGTGTGAAGTTTGAATTTTTTGTTTAGGGTCATTGTATAATACTTTTAGAATACATTTCTTTGATTATTTTTCTTAAACTGCGTAGATCCTATGTTTGATCAATCTTACTTTTTTAATGGCAGATATCTTAAAGAAGGAGAATTAAGAGATGAGAGCTCAGATTATTGAACTGAAGAAGAGCATTGTGAACTATAAAGAAAAATATATAAATATATTTTCTAAGAATCATGCTAATGAGGAATATATTAAAGATTTAAAAAGGGATCATAAAGAAAATTATGAAAGAATCGAGGACTCTTAGTATAAGATTGAAAAACTTGAGAACACTCTCAGCTCTGTAACAAAAGATTATGATGAGGATTTGAAAACTTGGAGTAAAGCTAATAAAGATCTTTTCAATAAACTCAAAGAGGTTAGAAGTGCTCTTTCGATTGAGAAAAACTCTCCAAGAAATAATACAAAGACAGAGGATTTAACTGAGAAATTTCATAAATCTGAGAGTGATTTGATTGAACTAAGAAAGCTTCTAAACCTAGAGAAAGAAAAGGTTTTAGAAATGG